GAACAGATCGCTGTATACAAAAAAAAGCGGAGACAATCCAATGGCAATACAACTCAAGAAAGGTACAGCAGTAATAAGCCAAGTAAAACGGAAACCCTTTATAAACATAAACCTCAACGAGAAGGTCCTAGTTAATGGCCAATAGGATATCGAAATAGAAAAGAACCCCTAACCCAATGTATATGAATAAATGTCTGATATATCAAGATAATATGTGTAATTATCAATAGCCCAGAATATAGAACTTAATAGTCTGCTAGGCAAATATAGACAAAATACCAGAGATTTATGATACTTTATTACAAATAGCATTTGAAAACAAATCAGATGTTTTATATATACAGGAACCTTTCATATTCTTATTTATAAAAACCAAAATATACCCTGAATAAACCTTATATATGCCAATAGATTTATGGATAGAAATATCCCCCGAATAAAGAGAAACAAAACAACCCCGAATATTGATATATATCAGAAAAGGAACGAAACTGTGAATTTAACAAAAGCAATCAATCAAAAGCTGCGATATACTTTGGATAAATATAAATAGGTATTCTATACTGAATATATACCAATAATTATAAATAGAACAGATATTATCATATATCACCAAACTATAATTATCCCTAGAGTACCTTATTAAAGGCAACTTCAATATTATATATAAAATATAACAACCTAGATTGGAAAACCTTTATAAAAAGAACAAGCTAACAGTCTGGACAAACCTGACTGAATTAGAATATATTAAAGAAAGAGAAGCACCTATTTATACAAAAGGTAATATACTTAATCTTTCATTTTCCAATATATTTTTTACAAAAACCAAGGTTTAGTACAATCTTTACAATAGTTTAGATCATTACACCCTAATAACAATAATACCTAATAAAAGAATCAAACCTTTAAATCAGTATAATATCTGTATCCCGAAAACGGAATTATTGCGATTAGTAGGGCTGGTGGTGAATAGAGTGATATACTTGTCTATAAACAATACCCTTAACACTTCAGAAAGAATAAATAACTTCATTAACTAATTCACTAAAATCATCAAACAAGCAATAACTGTAACAAAAACCATGGACAGAGGAAAAGGCAAGGCAATACCCTGGTAGACAGCGGAATACAAAAAGGCTTATATTAAACATCTAAGCAGATAAATCATATCAGAGAATCTCTTTATTATAGCAACAAAGGAATTCAAAACAATGGTCAGAGCAACCAAATATGATTACTGAAAACATATTATAGATAACATTTCTAGTAACAAGAATCTATACAAAATAGTCGGTTAGCACAAACTTGCCCCAAACCTCAAAAACCCTTTAATTACTTTAAATGGAATAGTGATAGAAGATATGATAAAAAAAGCTGAAGTATTTAGAACAAAGATCCTGGATCGCTTCAATATAGAAAATGATTTGGAATTCAATCTATTGGGAGACTAATAGAAAAAAAGCGGGTATTTACTCTAGAACTCTTAGTTTATATTGGAAAAAGTCGAAACAAGTATTATTAGAGTATTTAATATATCCCTAGGAATTAACCAAATTATGATCAGAATCCTTAAGGTCTGTTGGGACTATCTCAAAGATTTATTAAGATGGCTCTATCAGAAATGCCTTGAATATAGTTATTTCCCGAAAATCTGGAAATTAATTGAAATGGCTATATTACCCAAAATCAGAAAAAAGGATATAACATCTGTAAGGTTATAGAAATCTATTACTCTGTTCTCTTATATAAAAAAAAGCCTGGAAAGAATAATCGCTAAACGATTAGGTTGGACAACCCTAAAACATGGTATCATCAATCTCCAATACAGCGGAGCTTTACCCAAATGCTTTGTAATAGATCTGGTAGTGTTCTTTATATACAATGTGGAAATAGTATTAGTGATTGGGAAAAAAGTAATTATAATTATTATGAATATACAAAGCATCTTTGATACATTACTCAAAAAACAACTCCTTGCTAGAATAACGAAACAAGACTGGCCTAAGAACTTACTTTTACTAATTAATTCCTTTTTAATAGAAAGGAAAGTCAGAGTACAGCTAAAGCAAGTTATAATCAGAGAATATCCAATAACTTGTAGAATCCTTTAAAACTCTTCTTTATTATTAGTCCTGTATATATTGTATTTAGCGGAATTACTCTTAGAAGACACTTCCCTTAGGTTTGGGTATACAAATGATATATGCTTATATAAAGCATTCAAAACTTTGGAAGAAAACATCAGATACCTTATTACAGATGTACAAAATGTTATAAAATGGGGAGCGAACAATCGTATTGCTTTCGCCCCAGAGAAACTGGAAATAATCCATATCTCTATGGGTAATAGCAATACAGTATCTGCTATCAAAATGAATAAAGAATTTACAATATATCTGATAGTAACTACAGAAACAAACATCTATTCAGCACTAAAATGACTGGAAATATGGTTCAACAAAAAGCTGAACTTTCGTAAATATATTATTAAACACACAAGTAAAACCAGGGCAATAGCAAAGCATATACGAGACCTAGCCAAAGTTATACAAAGCCCCTTAGTATACACTATATACAAGGCAATAACTATATACATACTCCCCTCATTCCTATACAGGACTGAAACCTGGTACAGAGGTAGATTCAAGGCTATACAAAGATTAAAACCAGGACAAACAAAGGTTAACACCTGCCTTGACTAGTATGTGACACAAATCGAAAAGGTCCTCACAATAGCAATATGAGGAGTTATACCAGTCTAGAAAACCACACCAATAACCACCCTTTATTGTGAAACAGATCTCCCCTCAGCTATGATAATCCTCGAGAAAGCCAAACTAAGGTTTGCTTTATATCTTTAAAGCGTAAATACAATCTATCTGTTTATGAAAAGAATCGAACCCTTTATAATTATCAAAGAACGAGACACAGGCAAAAGACAAAAAGCAAAGACCAAAGTCCAACGATTTGGTCTCTTTGTCTCCCCAATCCCAAGGTCTATACTCGAATCATTATGGTACATATCTAACTACCGAATAGATTCAACAGAAAAAATCAATAAAAAAACAGCCACAAAAGCCTTCAATATCTGGTGAGAAAACCTGTCAGACACAGACATTATTATCTTCTCGGATAAATCGGAAAACCATATGAAAAGAAAATATATTGTGGACTATAGATATATAATATATTTAGATAAAAACCAGATACTAGCAGACTTCAGCTTTATCAATATTTAATCCTATGTTTTTGATACAAAAGCTATTGAAGTATAGAAAAGCCTAGAATGTACCCTCAAAAATACCAGATTCACCAATCAGAAAATCTGGATGTATATCAACAGTACCTCAGTTATCTAGGGTATAAGGGTCAATACCTTTATGTCATTATAATAAACATTTAACAATTACTATAAAGCCATGAAAGACAACGATATTCGTGTCAAATGATCACCAGGGCATAAAAACATCGAGAGAAACGAGGCAATCAACTATCTCACTGACCTTAGTGTTAAAAAACCCAGTTGGGACACTGGACCAGTATCCCAACCTATTTACAATGGGGTAAGATCAATCATATATATCCTAAAAGAAGAGACCTGCCAACAATAATGGATGTTATACAAACCCATTTTCTTGCTGTAATACAAACAATAGGTCCCGGTATATAAAGTCAAACTATTGTCAGAGCTCCTATTCCCATAAGTAGTCTTATATAGATTAATAACTATCCAAACTTTACATAGAGACTTCAGATAGTATTATAAGAAATTCGGGCACATAGGAGACATGGAATACTTCTGTGGAAAGCCCAAAACCTTTGTCTACCTGATCCATTGCTAGAAGGCAAAAGGCATATTTAAACAATAGCTAAACAAGCCCTCCACATTACTATTAATAAATAAGGAAAATATTCAATATCTATATCAAGTCTTAAACAACCCTACAGACTTCGCAAAGCTATTAAAACTCATGAAATTCTATAAAGATATATACCCAAAGTAGAGGATTGCAAGCCTGTATTCTACAAACAAATAATCTAAAAACCTTGCAATAATATATACTCATTATCAGGATCGATTTGCAATGTATATTACAAACGAAACTATCAACTCCTTTTGCAAAGTGTATGTAGAGAAACAAAATCATCAATAGATATAAAAAACCTAATTGAATATTAATAGGATATACAAAAAGCACATCTGCAAAATGCTCCCCGGAGCATAACAAATATTCGAATAGCTATATCAAAAATAATCTACTGAACTGCCTAGTTTATACAATAGCAAACCTGTAACCCAGGTACAATCGCCTATACCAGACAAAACAGTAAGATTACCTCAACCGGCGGAGGAGAGAATATACAAATTGGAAGGTAACATACAATTATTAGGAATAGCTATAAGGCTTTCACTTTTCTTTCTAAGACATTCTCATTTATGTATTGTAAGACTATAGCTTAGAATATCTGCATACCTCTAGGGAGGTTCTGAGGGCAGCTCTAAGCTGCTCTCCTGATGTAAAATAATACTACTATTACTACTACTACTAGAATTGTTAGTGATAATACTACCGGTACTATAAGAATAGGCATATAACGGTAAATGTTTACCTCAATTTAAGTGGTGTTACTAATTTACTAAGAGATATTCAGCCAGATTGTTAGCCCAAAAAAGAGAAACCTGACCTATAAAGTGAAGAATTCAAATGGTGGATACTGTACAGCATTTGTAAGATGCTTGTTGACAATGTTCCAAAATTCCGAAGTAATGACTTGTATTTGAACATGCATCAATTTCAGGCAGTTGAGTAAGAGAATTTGAGGATAAGATATGGGAGATGTGGACTTTGATTGGAGTGGCTTTTGTAGTGATTAATTGATCGATCAAAACTATTTGATTATGATTCAGTGTGAGATAGCAGCGTTGTGATACCGTAAACTTGGAAGAATTCGGTTCCGCTAAGCAAGGAGAAAAGCTTAAGATTATTCTGATAGGCCTAACTCTCGTATTCCTGTTGACAGGAATTCTTCACCTGATCAGTAGCTATATTATTTGAAGTCGAAATATACGGGATTCGATCCAGTTTACCCTGTATACTAATGGAGAGAATCTCTGCTTAGCGGAACCGAATTCTTCAAAGTTTACGGTATCCATACGATACTTGCAGAGAAGCTCTTGAGTAGCACTTATGTTCACGATATCTATATTTATCTTAGTTACAATTCAATGAGCGCAGTAAAATTGAACACTGTGAGTAACGCGAATTTCGAATTCGGGCGGTAACGATGGATCTGTGATGAATGCTGCGAACTAAGGATCTGTCATATTGTTGAGATTGTGAGAATTACAGTCATGTTGCTTAGTGCTTTGATCTAACCTATCTCATCTACAAATGAAATATGATATATTCATATATTCGTTTTGCAAAGGTAAATCGAATAAGAATTACATAAAACACATTCATTTTTTTGACAAACATATTATGCCAGCCAACTTTCCACCTGCATATGCCAGAAGTCTGAGTGGGTTAGAAAAACCGTGAATCGTAATTGCTCTTGCCTGTCTATTTGGTGAAGCAGATACCACGAAACTTCCGCTCTCACTATATCACCTTACAGCAAGATACCAACAGCTCCCATAACAACCAACAATGCCCACCCACCATGAACCACTCTATTCCCCGTACCAGGAACATCATCGACCTCCTTACTCCCACTAGTAACATTTCTCGCCCTCAAACAACTCATTTGCGCCGTTACCAACCCGCTTCCTCCTTCAAAACTGCCGCTCGGACTTTGAATCAACATCATTGGCCATACTCTCGTAACTGCTTCCTCGAAGCATGTTAAGTTGGTGGAATCGTGGGCATCACTGGATTCGAACATCCATGCTGAGCCATCGGTTTGGTTTGATGTGACATCTGTGTGGGATTAGTAGGTCTCTTTGTTAAAGCCGAGGATGATAATACATACTCTGAGCAATAGACCCAACGAGCAACGATCCTGCACATTGATCGGGTATTGCGCTAAATGAGATACCTCCACATGCACCCGTAGCGTTACGTCTCGCAGCCGCTACCCTCGCCGATTCAATCGCAGTTGTATAGCTGTTCATACAATCGTCGGTAAACATTGTTTTACAATCTCCAGTGTCATCTTGACCCTTAACCGTCACATTCCTAGGGATACTTGTAAAGAGAACAACACATGTATCCCATGAAGAATTGGCGGCGAGAATATTATCTGGAGTACTGAGGGAAATTACTGTGTTCGTCACGGTTTGGTTACCGATCCATTGGACTTCAGTGACATTGATTCGTGTATCCCAGCTCACAGGGTCAGCCGTCCATGGGTTTGAAAATGAGGTGTTGGCGCCTCTTAGGTAGCCTGTGCCGGTAGCGTTTGGGGATTGATTGTATTCTTCAAAGTAAGAGGCATTTTGTGAAGGTCCTGGTCCAGTTCCGCTACTCGCTATTATATCATGTTGAGCGGATGTAAAAGGTACTAGAACTGCAGTTATAAAATATAGATATGAATACATGATGGGTATTGATGATGAAACAAATTGTAATTTTTGAGATTGTAAGACCTTTTTGTACGGACTATCAATCCCCTAATCTTTACAATGAGATCGAGTCACTCCTTTAGATGACGTTATCCCAAGCTTCAGGGACAGAAATCTCGAGACTCAGTCATCGCCAAGTCGGAGACTTTAGGCGTACTTCCTATTGCCCAATCATAATCAATTAGGAGCAAGGGTCGGACTTCTCGTTCAAGGAACTTTCTCGACGATAGCTTAAACCGACATCATCGTGAATATGAAGATGGAGCCTTGTGAGGCTAAGTCCCACGCTCGTGGATTGATCTACACTCGTATCGTGAAACTGTGCTACAACAGGACCCCGCCAAGCTTATTTTGACGTGAAAACAAATCCTGCGTGGAGGGAGTGGATCGTTTTTGATAGCGAAACGCGGACGGGAAGAAGCAATGATGTGGCATAGAGAAGCAAAGATTTATCATCAGCTGCACTGATTCCTTTTACAGAAGCGTGATTAGCTCACTAGCCAATGTTGGAGGTAAAGTAGACATTGATATCTGTTTATACCTTAGTGAGAGGAAAATGGAAAAAATGATACTGTGTAAGGTTACTTGTCTCGGAACATTAATCTTCCGGTCCCGACATCATCTCTTTTTTCCAACAGAAAAACTCGTTGTTCCTTCCTTCAAGACAATCTAAACCTTCCACCCGTATTCCAGTCCATATCGTCGCGGATTAAATGTGATATTGAAATCGATATCGGGGTTGATTTTGAAACTCAGAATATATCCGATATTCTAACTTCGTTCAACTGTTCCCGAAGTCCAACGCAACCGCGAGTCGGCCCGTCAAATTGACCTTGTGATCATCCAACAGATCACTCTGTTATTGGAATATCACCTCTACGACTTCCTTCAATCTGATGACCTCGTCAATGAAGTTATTCGAGCAATACAATGACAGAAGTCATCAAAATATGCTGTAAATGATTTCCCCGGATAAATGCTTGTTTCATACCCCGCAAATCTGGAGAGGCGTTCTCGAGCGGGAATCTCGACAGGGGTCATCTATGACCATAGAGAGCTACATAGTCTCAGATCTTAGGATGCATGATGCATATGTTAAGTGTAACGTTTGCTCTTTGTATATGCCTTTTGAAGGTCGCTATCCTCATATTTGATAATGTAACAAATTGGAGACTGTATTTCCGTGAGGCTAGGTCCCCGTCGTGAAATTTCTCCGACCACTCAACTCACAAGTGAACTTTAAAGCAACCTTAAGTCATCTTCAGGATGTATTGCATAGCGCTCGAGGCATATTCAATATAAGTATTTTCTACCGGTTCATAACTTTCTTCCTTAGTCTCATGTGCTAATTTCGAAGACATCTCCGATACTGGAAGTTGCATTAACAATCTCCTCCCGGTATTGAATCTTGTCATTTTCGAGATCTTCTAAACTGCTTCACATATCCGGGAAAATGCCGAGGACAAATCAAAGTGTCTCGGAACTCTTCATTTAAGAGGTTCCTCTGCTCGGAGAAGTTTCTTTTCAATATATCATCTGGTATCAAGTAGGTGATACATCACAGTATAACTTCACCCACTCGCTAAGTGGTGTATTAACATATTTCAGGGTAAAGTGGGTCGTGTGCTATTAGTTATTGATTGATTATTTCCGCCGCAACGTATGTTTCTTGTAATTTAATATAATATTAGCACATCCAATAGTAGCGAAGGTATGTCAAGATGAATGCCTTCAGTGTGACGTTTTCAGATGAAAGTGAATAATCAGCCTGTTATCGTGGTCATCCTTACAATTACCTAGGTAAGTAGCAATGTCGGTTACTGCAGATTACCGTTACTACAGATTACCGTTACTATACTACACAGAAAGCATGTCTGAATCACAAAAAGAACTGCTTCTGTCCTTCCCATCTTTTTGTTTTGTTCTTCCGAAACCAGACATTTCTAACAATAAGTCTTAAACAACTAAATTACCACATTCCAAAACTTCACTTTGATACCTTGCGATACCAGGAAACATGATGGTTTCAACTACAGCCTTCTGGAAGGCTATTCTGCTGATATTCTCTGCAACCTTTGCTATTGCCGCTCCAACATCCTATGATTCGGTATCTCTTGAGGAAAGACAGTCTAATGGTAGACTTGTCTTTTGTCACTTCATGGCGAGTAGAACTTAGATTTGGTTCAAGGTCTGTCTGGCTCGACATACTGACATTTCACCCAGATTGGTATTGTAGGTGAACGAGTTGGTCCTCAAGATTTCGACGCCGATATGCAACGTGCCAAATCTCTCGGTATTGATGCCTTTGCTCTGAACATTGGAGTCGACCCATACACGGATACACAGCTTGGTTTTGCATATCAATCCGCTGCAAACAATGGGATGAAGGTTTTCATCTCGTTTGATTTCAATTGGTGGAATCCATCAAGCCAAGCAACGCAGATTGGACAAATGATTGCCAAATATGCAGCTCTACCAGCTCAACTGTTCGTTAATGGCAAAGCTTTTGCATCGTCATTTGCTGGCGATCAACTTGATATTGCTGCTCTAAGAGCTGGTGCAGGTATCCCAATATTTTTTGCCCCCAACTTTCATCCGGAGATGGGAACGAACTTTGGCACAATCGATGGTGCATTGAATTGGATGGTAAGTAACGGTTTCGTCCGATGAAAACTAAGACTGATATTGTTCTTTAGGCGTGGCCCAATGATGGAAACAACAAAGCACCTATTCCAGGCGCCAATGTCACTGTTGAAGCAGGTGATGCCGCATACATCAAGGCACTAGCTGGGAAACCATATATCGCACGTATGTTATCCGAGATTCAAATGACGGATGGCGATTAATATAATTTTTAGCGGTTTCCCCCTGGTTTAGCACCCATTTTGGTCCGGTAAGTTTCCCCCCTCGACCACTATGAAATGAGATGTTAACAGCCATAAAGGAAGTGCCATACAGCAAAAACTGGATCTTTCCATCTGATCTTTTATGGTTTGACCGTTGGAACGAAATCTTGACCCTTGGACCGCAATACATTGAGATTGTTACTTGGAATGACTATGGCGAGTCTCACTACATTGGTCCCCTAAATTCTTTACATTTTGATGATGGAAACTCAAAGTGGGTCAATGACATGTAAGTTCATCTTCATGTTTCCGAAAGAAAAGGGGATTAATACTTAAAGGCCCCACGACGGTTGGTTAGATATGGCCAAGCCATTCATCGCTGCTTACCATGCTGGTGCTTCCTCACCAAACAAGTATATAACTTCCGATCAGCTCATTTATTGGTACCGACCAGCTCTCCGCACTCTTGACTGCGATGCTACAGACACTACAATGGTACCAGCTAGTAATGGCAGTGGAAATTACTTTCAAGGACGACCAAATGGTTGGCAAGATATGCAGGACTCGGTATTTGTTGTCGCTATGCTCAAAGCTCCGGGAATTGTCACAGTGATGTCCGGAAATAACGTCCAACAGTTTAATGCACCAGCTGGAGCTTCAGCATATCAAGTTGATATGCAAGTGGGCAAGCAACAATTTTTCTTACAACGTGGCACCCAAATTTTACTCCAGGCTGTAAGTCTCCATGACGTCGCAGATGTTTGTATTTGTGGAATTTACAACTTCAACGCATATGTCGGAACTGTACCAGATGGACCTTCTGACCCACTTCTTCACGATGGTCTGGCTTCTTTGACTGCTGGACTTCATGTTAGCACGTGTAGCGCATCTCCGTCATTACCGACTGCTCCCATCAAGCCAACCACAACCCCGCCGGGAGGAGGAACTGTTGTTCCTCCGATTACTACCAAACCTCCCACTACCACACCTCCCACTACCACACCTCCCACTACCACACCACCAACCACTACTCCACCTACGACTACTAAACCAACTACAACCACGTAAGTCTTCACTTCTCTATCATGGCCCAATATCTAACATGAGACCAACAGCACAACTTCCACAACCTCCACCACATCATCTGTACCATCTGGTACATGCGTTGCAGGAACAGGACCCGGAAATTATGTTGGGCTCTGTTCATTCACCTGCGACTTTGGTTACTGTCCCGCTCCATGCACATGTTCCAGCTACGCCGCCACCGGAAATGCCGCTCCCCCCGTAACAAACACACCCGGTTATCCTCTCGCAGGCGAGGACTCAACAACCTATTCCGGTCTCTGCAATTTCACCTGCAACCACGGATATTGTCCCCCAACAGCCTGCACCTACAATTCCAACGGCTCTCCCATATCATCATCATCCTCAACCACTCCATCCGCCCCCACAACCACAACTAAACCCACCACCACAACTAGCACCAGCACAACCACAACATCCACAACCTCGTCAGCCCCATCCGGAACAGCTTTTTGTGTAGCAGGCACCGCCCCCGGAAATTACATCGGTCTCTGTAATTTCTGCTGCCAATATAATTATTGTCCTCCAGGTCCCTGTACATGTACAAGTTATGCCAATACACCCATTCCAGCACCTCCAGCAAGTAGTCCGTCGGGAAAACCGTTGTATGGTGAGGATGATAGTTATTTAGGACTGTGTAATTTTGCTTGTGGTCATGGGTATTGTCCGGGGACGGCTTGTGCTTCGGTGAGTGTTTGTCTGGGTTACTTTGTATTGTGTTGTGAAAGATAAAGCTAATGTGTTATGCATCAATAGGGATGAGAGATCGTTTTGTTTTGAGTTGTATGAGATGAGAAGAGGCTTTGTGAGATGGGTGATGATGTTTATGGGATTGAGAAATGATTACAACTTCAGGACAGGGTTCGGGAGTTAGAGCATGGATGGATGGATATGTAACATATTATATTTCATGACAGTTTAGACTCACAGACCGACCTTCTGCGAAGTTCTGATCGGTGGAAGTTTAGATTCTTAGATTTATCAATTACATTACATGGTAACTAGAGAAATGAGAATTAAATCATGAGTGATTGTTAGGGATTCCTTGAAGTGTATAACGCGTGCGGACTTGACAGGTATATCGTGTGTTCCCGTGTTATTTGTGCTCGGAGAAGATAGTTGTTAGATCTAATTTTAACTACCCGAGTAGATGATGGATGTAATGTCATAGAGCGCTGTAATCACATTGACTATTAACCACTACTCAAGTAGAAGATTTACTATCGGTTTCGGAATTGATGTTACTGTTACTGCACAGTATCTGTGTGGGATGATCTAGTATGGTCAACTAATTTGTTGCGGAAGAATATGCCTATGTAAATCTAATTAACCACTTTTGAAATGGCGTCACTTTTGGTGTTATATACAGTAATCGCGTCTTGACTAGTGCAGTGTGCTGGTAAGTGTAGGTGATTAGGTCTCGGCAGAAACATGTTATCGAGTGTTATATGGTTTTCTGTTGAATATCAATTTAGGTATCAGACGGTACCATATATTTGATGGGGCCCTAACCATAGTTATGGAGCGAATATAGATATTCCACAACATGACAGCTACCGATACGTCACCAACCGCCACCGAATGCCGGAGAATACCAACTTATCTCATCCCATCTCATCCCATCACAATATAAGATAAATTCCCATCATTCACCGCCACATCAGACAAGCTATCCCTCACCTTACCTCACCTAACCTACACCACAGCCTTCCTCTCAGGCCAACTATCCAAAACCGCCTCTTCCCCCGTCAACGTAAACCCCCACTCATCCATCCCATCAACATCAACCAGCACCCTATAATCCCCCGGATACAGCACCAAATCTCCATTCTCAGCACCTCTCGCCAAACTCCCCAAGTTCAACTTCAATTCTGCATTTGCAGTTGTGTCCCCAGCAATATCATGGATTTTCGTATAAGCTACGAGAGATTTCTTGGGATAGGGTGCGGGGCCAAATGTACCGGATAGAAAGAGTAGGATTGTGTAATCGGATGTGGTGGTACCGGTGTTGGAGACGGTTAGGGGGAGTGTGAGGAAGGGGGTTAGGTCTTTGTATGTAGTGGCTTTTGAAAGGAGATCTGAAATCGCGAATGTATTATGTGATGGGGCCGTAATGCTAGCGTTGAAAGTCGTATAGTGCATTCCAAATCCAAACTCATAAATAGGAGTTCCGTTAAACCATTTATAAGTACGTCCAGGATTATGTTCTCCAGGTAGTAGATCCATGTCGGCTATGGATACCTGGTTAACGTAATCGCTGGGATATTGGGTAATGGGTAGACGACCTGCCGGTGCTGATTTTCCGGTCAGTATGTTGAGGATGGCAGTTCCGCCGTCTTGACCGGGGTAGCCGGCCCATATCATGGCGTTAACGCCGGGGTTGGAGAGCAGCGTGGATGAATCTATCATGCAGCCCATTTGGGAGATTATCAAGGGGGTGGAGAGATTGGCGAGTTGGTTAATAAGGGATAATTGGGTTGAGGGCCATGTAATGGTTGTTCGATCCTATATTGTAGGTGCTTATTAGCCAATGTTATAAGTACACGGAATTGGATTGGAAGTCATACTTTTCCTTCTTCCTCGATGGAATTATCGATCCCGCCAACATATATAACGACATCGGATTTTTGTGCAGCAGCTACAGCTGCTCCGAATTGAGTCGTGTTTGAAGAATCAATATCTGCACCTTGAATATATGTGACTTTAAAACCGGCATTCTGAGCTGCGATTAATGGAGAATTCAAATATGAAGCTCGACCATAATAGTTCCCCTGCATTTGAGTAGTCGCATTACCCCATGGTCCGATCAGCGCCACATTCGTGATATTTGATGATAAAGGAAGTAAACCATCATTCTTAAGTAGTACAATTCCATCTTCTGCGGCCTGAAGCGCAAGTTGTCCAGCAGTAGGGGTGGAAACATCAGACCAACCCAGCTGACGATATGGCTGGATAGATGCGGGATCAAAATATCCGAGTCTAACTAGTGATGCGTAGCGTCGGATGAGAGATCGGTCTAGGGTAGAGATATTGTAGAGACTCTGATTATATGCGGATCCTAGATATGTGGGATAGAAGGTACCACAGTCCAAATCTGTCCCTGCGTTCAATGCATCTGCGGCTGCTTGCTCGGGGGTGGATGTGTAGTGGTGGTAGTCCCAGATGTTCTGGACGGCGTCGCAATCACCTATCTATTTTAGCGTCCACACCAGTGTATAAGAATAGTCTGCTCCACTTACTGACTACCCATTGATCCTCTTCTTCCCACCCCCAGTGCTCTCTCAAAAGAGTCTGTAACAGCCATTCATCGGCACAAGTTGGAATACCATTCACTGCATTATAACTGCACATAACACTCTGTACATTTGAGTCCCTGGCGCATTGCTGAAATGATGGAAGGTAATAGTCTCTCAAATCCTGAGAGCTGATGATAGCATCAAACCCATAGCGTATCGCGCCACCACCATCCTCAAGATCATATCCAGCATAATGTTTGCAAGTCGCCACCCCTTTCTTATAAGGTAGGTCGTCGAGTCCTCCTTGAAGCCCGGTTACAAGAGCATTGACGTAGCTAGAGACATGGAATGGGTCTTCGCCAGGAGTTTCTTGACCGCGACCCCACCGAGGATCTTTATAGGGGTTTATGTTGGGTGTCCAATAATTGAGACCGAACCTATTGGCATTGCTAAAAGCTCGTGCTTCGGTAGAAATCTGAGAAGCTACATTGTGGATCAATTCATCGTCAAAGGAAGCACCCATTAGAATTGGTTGAGGAAACGATGTTGAGTAAGAGTAATTGGAACCCGCGGCTCCATAGGAAGCTCCACGAGCTAGACCATGGAGAGCTTCATTCCACCTATTTTCGTTTTCTCAGCAAGGTCTGGGGAAAGTTTACTCGCAAGCCGTACCATTCATATGGGGGAAGACCAATTCTGGAAACGCCAGGGCTTGTGTTTCCAGTATTGTTGATCTTCTCGGTCAGAGTAAACAGTGCTACAAGCTGCATCACGTTAACAAAACGATCTCAGTCAAGAAGTGATGACTTAAGCTTACAGCTGTAGCTCTAGTATATGGATCAACAGTCGTATCACAAACTGTGTTATTGGCCAACTAACAATTACTAGTGAGTAAATCCACATTTACCACATTTCGGGTTGAACTTCGACGGAATGCTGGGTTATACTGACAGGACCATTCACACAATCAGGGAACTTTTGTGCAACAGCACCAGCAATACTGACGGCACTTAGTAACTTTGAAGTTCTCATTGTGAACGCGGTAATATCGTGTGAAGGAAGAGAAGTGAACCAAAGTATGTTTGGAAATCTACCATTTCTCCAATTTCTGAGTTGGAGAAGTAGTAGGTTTTATATCTACAACTGGGGTAAATGAATATGAGAAATCTTCAAAGATCCACTAGATCGACAGCGGGGAGTGAGGAGAAAAGCTACTTTAGCCTGAATGTGGCCGGTTCTGCAAGGTGTATTGCACAAGTGCAGGAACAATCTTGGCTTCTACATCTTAACTTCGGCTTCAAATGGAATGTTTTGCATGGAAGTGCGGGGACAACCTGCAATATGACGATCAATCTGCATTTTGAGCTGGCAAAAAAACGGATATAAATCTCGTATACGCGGATGTACAGTTCTTCGATCGACGGTAATTTTGTTTTACCGGCGGCCGCCGGGTATGTTTATTGGGATTTGTGACTCTGGTGACAATTGATGGCAAATTGTGAACAGTATGTTTGGGTCTAAGTTCGAGATTGTATGCCATTAACAATAAAGATTTAGCTTAAGATCATATCAAAGCACATCAAACTCAACTTCAAAAGACTAGGGTCCCGAAATAGATGAACAGCGCGCCTTGGGACTCCAGCATTGGTTTAAATTGAGGGTTTGGGTATTAAACAGTAACTGGGAGAGTATAGATGTCATGGTTTACCTCGGGTAATTAGATGCAATTCGCCAGGACTAAATGTATGAAAAGAACCCCATTAAACATCATCCATTACCAATGATAAATTAAGCGCAAGATGGAGAAGTAATCCCTGGGCACTGCCTGGAGAGTTCCCTACAACAAAATCGAGTTCAGAAAATCTTATCCCATACTCTTCTTGCGAGATTCTTGTCTTCTTTCATGAGCTCTGATGTCTCCTTCCATCGGCGTATCGAGTTTAGCTCGGGTTCAAAGTTTATCCTATCTAATGGAATGATCTTCGATTTCAGGAACAGCTTAAAGAATGCGTATAACACTGCGAGAAGATCAGTTATCATGATTATTATTGTAAGGTGTAGAAAAGGCATACCAATAAAGATTGCAACGTTGATATAATATGTCAAAAATCCAGAAGCTGTAAAATTTCCAGGGAAGAAGACAGCATATCCTATGTGTTCTGTTAGCAAAGATAAATATTGTTGGTGTATAAGTCATACCGGAGAAGAAGACAATTAGGAAGACAATAAGTCCTGTAATCCATGCTACATAAGGCTGGAAAGGGCTCTTGTAGGGCAAAGCTACGAAAACTTTAGTAAGAAGAATCAGAAGCTTTTTTGGAGTCACTTACAATCACGAGAGATACACTGTTGTTTCAGAGCATAAAAGAATCTGAGATATGTAACTTCTATGACAACCCATCCGATTAATCCCGCCACTGTAGTAATGTTGACAAACCACCCAAAGACAACTGATGCTTGGGTGCTGACAACCATGTACACAAGGGGCGATGGGAGCACACTTAAACCCACGGCATACCACGGGGTACCAAATCGATTACACTTCATGAAGACCTTTGGAGCATGGCCATCGGCACTCAAGCCATAAAGTGTACGAGATGCCAGGTAGATACAAGCAGATCCACTACTGATAGCAGATGTACAGACAACAGCGTTAATGATGGAAGGAAGGACCTTAATTCCAGCGGCTTGAAAAGCAATAACAAAAGGAGATGAGGCGGCTGTTCCAAGAGAAACAGATAGAGCTTCACTGTCATATGGACTAGAAAGTATTAGTGATGTAAAGCTTCGAGAAACCAAAGACTTACACAATCACTCCGACTATCAAGATACTCAAAACATAAAAGAAAAAGACACGGAAGAATGTCTTCTTCGTGGCATCTGGGATAATCTTTCGGGGATTCGCTGTTTCCGTGCCAGAGAGCGCCACGACTTGGATGTTACCATAAGCGAAGGCAGCGCTGATGAGAGATGACCAGAAGGCGAGAAATTGCCCAGTGTTTCCACTGACCAAGTATTCGTTGAAAGGTCCTGGGTTTTTCCAATAAGTGAACCCAAGTCGTTCTCCTTTCGGTCCACCACCAAGATCGACGACTAGTCCGGCAATAATTAGACCAATGATGAGAGCAATCTTCATAGAAGCAAAAATGACTTCGGACTAAAATAGCATGATTAATTAGTTATAGCTAATGAAATTTTAGAGAGCTCAATAACCATACTTCACCATACGTCCGCACATCACAGAAATTAAGGCATACTATCACGACCAAGAATACAGTTATCCAAACCGCTGGATTTGTGCTTGAATCCCAAAACTGAATGAGAGTCGCAGCTGCACTCAATTCAGCTGGTACTGATATAGCCATTGTGTACCCTAGTTTCTGTAAGTCAAATGAATCAGATTATGTCGTCTAAACATACAAAAATTCCATCCCGCTGCAGCCCCAAAAGCAGGCTCCACAAATGCCGTAGCATGACGCACAAATCCACCAGTGACTGGCATGAACGCAGTGATCTCACCGGTTGTGTACTATTGTTTGGGGAATTAGTCCACTGCTTTCCCGTGACTATGCAGCTCTTCAGAACTTACGCTAACTCCTGCTGTCACGAATCCCATGAAAATGTATGCAAGCCATGCACCGGCTGGACCAGCTAGGGCGATTGTGGTCCCGGAACTCAAAAAGAGACCAGTTCCCTGGTTTAAACCATCAGTTCTCCAATCCTATATTTCAGGTTCGCAATGACTTACAATCATACCTGCAATCGCTATCATATTGATATGGCGACCCTTCATATTTCGTTTAAGCTCCTCCCCGACAGGTACATCATTAGTCGAGCCCTTCTCGGTGTCAACTTCAGTCACTGGATGAGAGAATACTTTGGACTTCATGACTGATGATTTTGGATCCACTGATCTAGTTGAGCTTGAAGTCATGAGTAGAAAGTAGTTGACGAGTTACCGTCAACAGGACCTTAAGATTTGAAGGACAAACATTCTGATGTCAGGGGGGCCACGATGGCCCATGATATATGTATATGATTCAAGGGTTTGAGAGGCCCCATTCAAATCGGACAGATATTTCAACGGGTATAGTGTAGTCGAAATACATTAACAATCTATGGTATCTTGAACGTAGGGATCGGCGTTCAAAAGTGATAGGGAAAATGTCGGGGATTATTAAAATCATGTTAGGGTTCCGGGTGGGGTGTAAACAGGTTGACAGCGCCAATCATTCAGGGGTATTTTAGTTCCTTCGGTGTTCAAAATGATGAAGGGTTATTATTTCCCCACCAATTTATTATGGATAGCTTCCAAACATGCATGTATTCGTACATCTTTCACGATGAAATATGTAAAGAATCAAAGCAAAATGCGGAGAGTGACTAGTTCGTTGAGCTCTATATACTGTGAAGCAGACGATCCAATTCGAGCAAATGAGTAATTTTCACTTCCTGTTCAGATGAAAAGTCTCTTAACGATCGATCAATCAATCGATCCCTCCTTCATTATACCACATTTCGGCAATATGAGGACCGAAAACCATGATGCAAAATTCCCAGCAAAAGCTGCTCATGTTAACATGATGACAGACTGTATAGTTGCAAACTTGCCAGCGGAAGGTCTACGGTCGATACTTAGGGGCCTCTTGGGGGAGAACACTTCGAACACGGCAGGTCTCACGAAGCTTGCATCAAAATATCTCGCAAACACCCGGCCGTCATCTATACCGGAGTTATTTACCACATTCAACAAATCGCCAAAACCGACTCTAGATCTTAAGCGAATTCAAAGCAGATACAGATGTCTCATGGGTTGTGGATTTGGGTTCGAAAGTGTGGAACTCCTCACGATCGTCTTACAACAAATACAATCGTTGGAATGGGATGATAGAACGACCGAAGGGGAAGAATTTCTGGAAGTTCTCGCAACAATTGATGGAGATATTGTGCAATCAACAACGGCAGTACATAAACTACTTCTTACCAGTTCCGGGATGCGTCCTATGACCCCCGAGGACTCTCAAACGATTGCAGCACTTCGAGGAGCACTTTATACGTGCGAAGGAATCGCCATTACTCGGGGGCAGGATTTTGCTTTTGAGCGTGGGCTATGCTGTATTGAGAAGTTAGTGGAAGGATCCGAAAACGAAGATCAGTCCCGGAAAAAGAACGAGGCCCCCCTGACAAACGGATTCCATTCATCCAAAACCGCCCTCGAATCATTTCAACTGGGATCAGCTGAGGTTCCCAGAATATTCATGGGCCTATGGCAATTTTCTAGTCCTGCTTGGGGTACTGCTTCTAGATCGAAGATTGATCGTCATTTCAGAAAGCACGTCGATTCTGGACTCATTGCCTATGATATGGCCGATCATTATGGTGATGCCGAAGTTACATTCGTAAGAAGGCCTTCGTCATTGCAAGATAACCTACTAATGAGATCTCCAGGGTCAATTTAGATCTGTACAGGAAGATTCGGAAAAAATATACTGTGCGACAAAGTGGGCGGTGTTTGAGCCCATACAAGTAAATAAAGAAGTTGTGGACGCAAACATATCTGAGCGTCTCGCGGCCATCAACTCTACGAGCGTAGAACTGCTCCAGTTTCACTGGCAAGATGTATGTGATTTCGAATCTGTGTGGCTAACAAATGTACTGACGAACCGACTAGTATAATGATCACCAGTATGTAGAAACAGCCCGCTTGATAGAGGAGCATCCCAACGTCAGAAGTTTGGGTCTCTGTAACTTTGATTCCGACCATATGTGCGAAATCTTGGAGAGCGGCGTCAAGGCAGTATCAAATCAAGTACAATTTTCTCTGATAGACCTGCGACCGACTTTCAAGATGGCAGAAAGTTGCAGAAAGTACAACGTCAAACTTCTTACTTATGGCACATTATGCGGTGGATTCCTAGCAGATAAGTGGCTGGGAAAATCTGCTCCCAATCTATTCGACGAGAACATGACCCCAAGTCATCGCAAATACTTCGAAATGATCACCATATGGGGAGGTTGGATACTCTTTCAAGAATTACTTGAGGTACTTGCCTCCATCGGCTCCAAGTACAACGTTTCTGTGTCTAGCGTGGCAATAAGATGGGTGTTAGATCACGATTATGTGGGAGCTGTGATAATCGGCGCAAGGATGGGAATCAGCGAGCATATTGACGAGAACCTTAAAGCTTTCTCCTTTAGGCTTGACGTGCAGGATAAGCAGGCTATACGATTTGTATTGACCAGATCGAGGGCAAAGGATGTTTTCGAGGCCATGGGAGACTGTGGGGCTGAATATAGACAGTAATCTATTTAATAAGATTAATTTAAGGGTAACCTTATACCGGCCCCCCGAGTATAGTATGTGAGCCCATGATTGAAATAATCGCCGGTGCTGTGTCTCAGTCAAACCTGAAATTAATTTCAGCAAATACCAGAAAGGCCAGAAAATCGAAATCTGAGCATTGTGATTCACCCAACTAAAGTCCATGGGACTCAAGTTTTTAGCAACTTCGTTCTCGAGCCACCATTCATGAAGAGATTGTTCGCTACCGGATCAATCGCATACTCCCCGGTATGACTGCATGTATAACGTGTTGCCATATAACAACGTGCGGGCCGTGATTTGCATGGAAGTCGGCGTTGAAGAGTGGGATGAAACCAGACTAGGTTACTTTTAAGCTATAACCTCTTTTCTCTGGAGATCCATCTGGATTAGTATTTCGCGTTTAATTGGGAAGGATGTGCGTTTCATAGGGTTAACAATTTGGTTCTCGCTGTAATGAGATACGATACGATGACCAAAAATTGCGCCAAAATGATGTCGTCGCATACGTCGCCGCTAAATCCAGACCAATCTCGTCCAAAACCTCCAAGGCAAGTCATATCTGAGGATGACTTTGTTGGCCATTGGATCCTGACAATAACCTTATAGCCAAATAGCCTGCTTAACATGCAGGAGTGTGAAATTAAAGTGTAGAGCTACTTTCTTCAATGAGAAATGTGAGCGATGCAAACGAAAGTCACTTGATTGTGTGTTTGAGCAGCATCGGAGAGGGAGGAAACCAGGCACAAAGTATCATTTACCTCGCCATAACACACTGTAACGTAATTCAAATACTTATTATTTTCAGGATAAAGCGAGAAACCCAGAAATCAATTGCAAATATTGAAGAGCTATCGATGTCTGACCAAATCAAGTTACCTTCAAACAATTTACCTTTAAACGCAACACATATGTGTAACGAGGTGGAGCGACAGATGTCCCCGAGTCCCGCGCCAGATGGCCAAGTGGATACTTCTCCACCCCAAAATACACAAACCTGGGGTAATGAAGGGCTGCAGCAAGTTGGTATTTTGAGTAGAGAAGCTCAGTTCGGGAAGTTCTCATTGGAAAACATCCTTTCTGTACCAGATGATCTAAGATCTCGCCCCCCTACGAGATCGCCAGCCCACAGTGTGGACGAATTCAATGACCCAATCACATGTAATATGCTCAGTTTTCCTGTTGCGTTGGGATTGTATGATAGGTGAGCGTCTTTACTGCTTCCTATCCCTCAAGCAAGCAAGATTACCATCTAATCCGGTTACTATCCTGACAAATTATAGTTTCATGCGTTGTTTAAATCCGTATATTTGTCAACTAGACCCCAAACTGCATAACTTCGACTATGTTCGCCAACGTTCACCATTCCTTCTCACAGCAATTCTTTCAGCATCCTCCAAGGCTTTCCACCCCGCACTTCATCCCATACTCAGGTTCCATACTGAAAACTTACTTGGAAAGGTATTTGCACAGGGAAATAAGTCCACGGAGACTGTCCAAGCAATCCTTATCTTCACTTACTGGAAAGAGCCAGCTGAGATACGTACTTGGCTACTTGTTGGTTATGCTATCCGTATGTGCATCGAGCTTGGGTGGCATGAAATCGAGCCAGTATCACAAAAGCCACGAAATAAGCCGGATGAGATAAGTATTAGAGAAGCCAGAAACATCGAGAGAACATGGCTAGTCTTGTTTGTGTATGATAGAAGGTCAGTCCTCCACTCTCGTCAAATTAAAATGATGTGTTTTAACAATTGATAGCCTAAGCTTACAACTCGACAAACCATGGATGATAGACCAGAACACTCTGATCTCTAAAGCTAGCGAATGGTATCAAGAAACATACGCTGTACCTGGCGTCGATATGCTTCTGTCAGCAATTGTATGTCTTCGACTCATAAGTGCTGAGATGCTCGAGCTTTCATCATCCATGAAGTTGGAAGCTCAAAGTTCCCGATCAGAAATTTTGTCTAGGCTTCTCAATACTGAAATTAGCACATGGGAAAAGGACTGGCTGTCCAAATTTGAAGACGGTCTGCTAAATTCCAACCCCCGCGATATGGTGCATCACTGATTTGAGACAGAAACTGTCGCCCCTCCCCAGCGATTCCTTGTAAATTTCTATGGTTCACATCTCCGGCTCCTTCTCAACTCGTATAACTTACAGCACTCCCTCAAATCTGTCAAGAAAGGGATCGCGGTATCAACCTCAGCATTATGGCAATGTTCATCAAGTGCAATTGGCATGCTAGATAATATTTCGAAAGTCATTGGGCCTCTGAAGCAGCTTTACTTTGTCCAAGACTCGGTTCATGTGATGACTGCTTATGCTGCTATCTTCCTTATCAAGGTAGGTACCTACCTATTCATCTTCCTAAATTTCCATTGATTTTGACAAAATAAACTAACCACTGACAATAATAGTTACTCGTATCTCTTCCCAAGAACTTGCGCTCAGATCTCGAGCCACAATCACTACAGGCAATTCTCCTCGCGTCCAACACATTCAGTCAACAATGCGCCACGCAAATGACCGGCTGCGCAATGCAAGCACGATTTCTCAAAAATCTCGTTGAAAGATATCAGAGCTTAAAATCCCAGGCTGGCAATCAAAACCGAGATCGCGGTGTTCACTCTTTTCAATCCAATATACCTCCATCACTCAACAATATCCACAATCAGATGAACACCGGTATCAATACAGGTCCCCAGGTTCCTGGACCTATTCAAAGTTATCAAGACACCAGAGATTTCGCAGACACAAATTCATTAACCGGAAGCACAACGGATTTTAGCACGGATCTTATGAAAGATGACGAAATCTGGGAAGGTTTATTGACCGATGCTGGATTTTGGATGAGTGAGGGGAATTTGGCATCGGATAATAATCTTCTTCATTGAGTGGGTGGATCTGGACCCATGTTCTCTGATTGAATCTGAGTAGACTCGGGATGTCGTTATGTCGTTATCTCCATTATCGGGGTTCAAGAGTGGGGGCGCTTCGTCCCGTGTGGGGAATCTACACTATAAACCTGGACTTGGACGATTGTTTAGAACGCCGACGGGGAATCGGGAGATGTCGTATCGAATTATCCTGTGGATATGGTGACTAAGTATAGGGAAAGCCAAGGATCTGGTAGGGTTGAGGTTAGATGTCAGAATTCTCATCTGAAGAAAGATATCTCAATCTACAACCTCCACACGGGAATACGAATTAGAATCTTAGCCTCAAAATCCATATACAGTCCCTTTACGCAGAGCTCTCACTTTTCTCTTACGACCAATCATTATGGCGACCTCATCTACACCAGACGACTCCTTCCAACTCTACGATATCCGCGTCGAAGTCGTTTGTCCCCCCTCTGCGAAAATCCTCTGTGGCGCCAAGGAGGGCGACCATTTTACTCTTGAAGGAGAAATGATGTATCTGCCTCCTGGTCAGGGAATCAGTATTTATAGTTTATGTTCGTTCTCTCATCCCTCATCCCAATTCCATTACAATATCCTTCCAAACCTTTACGGTTCAAACATCCAATAATTCGTCACGTCGAACTCCTATTAATAGCAACCTAGCATCGGTGCTCCCTCTTCTAGCAGCGAAACAACGCGTCACGCATGCAAATGATTGGATGACGACAGATGGGTTGATCGCATGTCCGGATCCGAATTGTGGGAGTCAGTTGAAGATTAGGAGGATGGGGGTGAGGACTTTTAGACATGGTGAGACGACGGTTGTGGGGTTGGAGGGGAATGTTTAGGGGATGCTGGGGTTGTTGGTTGGAGGAGAGGAAAATAGGAGGATAGTTAATTGTTTGAAGATGGTCATTTGTTTTGGAGAATCTGTACATTGTGGTCACGGGGATACAGAAAGAATCTTTGCCTTTTTGGAAAAGGGGGGAGGAGAGGTGAATTAGCTTCTTCACCATATTTTTGGGCAAGCAGTCTCCTTCGTCATTCATTGAAGATCATGCTCGATGGATGTTTTAGATAGGCATGGGTGTAGTTGGTTTAGCTCCCTTTGCATAGATGATACTTGACTTCACTTGGCATTTGTTGTTCCGGTCTAGCCACGGTAAATGGTAGGTAGATGGATAATCTAGGGGTTATTGGCAATATAATTCTTGCGAATCCGAATATCCGAATATCCTTGATTCGCTAATAGGCTTCCACAGCATTGCATTTAATCTTGTTTGATTGTAATGGTGAGGAAAAGGGAACGTCGATGAAAACTCAACGAGATGCTTAAGTCGATTTACCAAAAAATAATAATGTTGTTCACTCAAGCTTGTCTGATGACTCTGATCACGACTGAAATGCTAAACATGACTCCAGTATTTTTTTACAGGCTTTTATGTGGCGCAAACACGCTAAAAGCTATCCGCACCCGTCCCGTTGCAGTGGTCTTATAGCGTACCGAGCGTACCTTGCAGCATTCCAAAACACTGAAACTCGCCAACGTCATGGCATTTTAGGCATTCACGTGGCATTCCACAAATACGAGTTGCAAACACTCTTTCTTTTTCATCATTCTGTTCCATTCATATATTCTCGTTCTCATCATCCTCAATATATCATATCACACAGCACAATGAAGAACTTTTTCCACGGCCTAAAACAAAAGGTTGAGAACTTTGACTCTCAACATCAACAACATCAACAACAGCAACCCTTTTCAGCCCCTTTCCATCAACCATCCATCCCCAACTCTGAATCCTCCGCCCTCGCCGAAAGAACCTTTCAATACTTTTACTCTGCAAAGAACAACCAATTTCAAGGCAAAGTAAAGTCTGAAAGCACACTTGGAGCAGAGAACGACTTCGGATATGTAGTATGGCCTGTCTCAATAATGTTACATGCCACGGCAGATTGTCTTCCTCCTCAGCGAATCCACCAAGCCGTCTCAGCTCACCAACAGTATTGGAACCCTGAACAACATGCGTTTTGCGCCTGGAAGATGTTTCCAGGAAATGATGATATTTATTATGATGACAATGCTCATGCGGTGCAGGCATTCATTTCTTCATTTCAAGCTACAGGGGAGAGCAGGTACCTGGATCAAGCTACGGATATCCTGTTCAACTTTATAATTCCATCTGGACAAAGAGACGGAGGTATTCCATGGCATATCTCCAACGATAAAGCTAGAGCTGCTTGTTCCACCGGTCCTGCTGCGATATCAGCTTTGAGAATATCAGCAATCAGATATAATGGAAATCTGGTAGCATTCGCCGAACGAGCATTATGCTGGCTGAAACAAAACTTGCAAGATCCCGGAGATAAGCTCATATGGGATCAATTGTCATATAAAGAAGATGGATCCACGGACATAAATCGTATGAAATGGACATACAATAGTGGATTCGCAATCCACGCCTTCACGCTTCTATACGAAGCTACCAGGAAAGATGAGTATTTAAATACAGCAATAGAAATTGCAGAAGCAGCAATGAATCCAGAGGCACCTCTCTTCGATCACTGCATTCCCAATCCATCCCAAAGAATGCTCTCAGATGGATCATTCTTCCTCCATCATCTCGTAGACGGCTATGTCGCCCTTTCCAAGCACACCCACACGGAACAACTCCGAAATGAAATCCGTCGTATAGCGGATTGGGGAAGAGAATTTATGTTGGATCCGGCAGATGGTTTGTATTATCGTGGTAGTTCTCCATATACAATTTCGGAAGAAAATGTGAGGAAATTTAATGCTAAATTTGGATTGAATAAGGGTTTGGAGGTTAATGGTCAGGAAAGAGATGAACAGGGTAATTTGTGTAAGACGATGCTGGGTTGTGCGAGTTGGGCGAGAATATTACATGCTGCGGAGACTACATAAGTAAATAATATCGATTTTTGAATGAACTAAGGGAATACACTAAGCTTTTGAAGGTTATATATACTTTTTATTACTACTAATAACTAGATGTTGATGATTTGCACCCTGTTTTCAGCGGTTTCCTCCCACTGTTAATAAACATGGATCACTTACCCCAATTCCCCAAAACGAGAAAGAACAACCACAAACATATAAACCACAGATTAAAAAAAAAAAAAAATCAGCAACAAAAATCGCCTCCTACTACTATGGATGGGTCCAATCCTGATTCTGATTCTGATTCTGGACTTAATCAAGATTCAGGTTATAATTTGTGACCAAAAGGGTATAAACAGGACTCCGATTGTGTACTTAGAATCTACAAGTGAAGAGCTATGTAGGGTGCTAAAAGGAGGACTATATATACAGGTATTGGGAGCCATAAGGGCTAGGCCAAAAAGGGTGAAAGGGTCCTAGGCGTAAGATGCCTAGGTCTAGAGCTATAGAGCTAGGGCTCTAAGCTGTGAAAGGAAGGTCAAAAAGAGCCGTCATATCATACTATGTATGTAGTATGAGCCAGTGGGCGGAAGAGAGCCGTCTGTTCCGTCACATAATTCTCAATCAGATCTGGAATTTGGCATTAATACTGAAACTAGTTATTATCAGTAAATAATAAACAAATTTGAAACAGAAGAGGTTATATTATCGAATCCTAGTAATAAGATTAAAACTATAATAAAAGCAGAATTGGAAAGATAAAAATAGTAAGAATACATTTTACAAATATTGTGAGGAAACCAATCAATAGTATTAGAGTCACGTGATAGTCTAGAGAGAATACTTATACCCCCTCTTCCAGTAGTTTAGATCAATTGTCATGTTTTACCCCTTCAAAGTTATACCTATCCTCAGTGTTTAGACAAATAGTTACTTTATTTTCTTTTAATTATAACTATCTTTCAATAACATTATAATTAGATAATTGTTATATAATATATAGTTATACCAAAGGTTTTTCTATAATTACATCACCCAAACACAATATTCCAAAGAAAAATTTCTGGTCGCCAGAAGTTGAATTTCGGTCTGAATTCAAACTCTACAAAGTCATAATAATATATATAATACATACCGTTTTCTATAAGTTAACATAATGTCTCATATGGTGTCACCCGAGGTTATCGACCTGGAAAATGTGAATTATATCAATTTACAGGTTTTAGAGATACTCTCCAATCTCAAAAACTGCTTTAAAAGAAGATAGTGTACCTTTATCAATAAGATACCACCAATCTTCAAACTAGGAAATAAAGTATACACTAACGATATTAATCTAGTAATAAAAATCTTTAAAACCAAACTTGCTGAATACAAACATACTGAAAGAATTTAGCAAAAGGTTATAATCAATCTAATAAATATAATTGACAGATACATCGATTTCTTTGCCACAAAAAATAAATGAATTGTAATCAGGAAACTAAGCACCAGAGTTGTAGAAATCCTTATATTTACTATCAATAATAAATCCAACCTATTATCGAGCCTATTGTATATACCACCAACAATAAAAAGTGTAACTTCTTTGAAGATATAAACTACCACCAAAACATATATAAGGATTCTTAAAACCCCCAAAACAAATCAAAACGGAGTGGACCGAGCAGATTCACCTATACCTTAAAAAACCCTATCAAAAGCTTCATTTAACAATATATATATCAAACAACAGATAACACAAACCACCCAAAATATAGATTACAGGTTACTAATAGCTATCAGCCTTGCAGCCCGGATCAGCTGATTAGCCCTATATATACTAAGAAACGCCCTCATTAAGGCAATTATAAATCTAATATTGGCAGATATCCCTACTATATCTATTACTAAGACAGGATAGGTTATCATATCAAAAAACCTAGCAACCTATGAACTATTCCTTACACAAGAGAATAAGGAAATCATTTTTCGAATCAGTTAAGGTATATAAATGTATTAATTGGTAATGTAATATAATTATATAGTCCCCGGAGTCCTAGTATCAATATACACACTAGATAGACTCCCAGCCAATACTGCGAATTACATGGAAGTGGAGGTATAGGCATAAATGAGTTAATTCCTAGTCAGCTGTAAACCTTTCTAATACAAAGCCAACCCCCACAATAGTACAATCACATGAATAATATCCTTTCTCGAACCAGTCTGCGGTTTTAGGCTCTTTAACACCAGCAAACTGACACAGGAGATCAAGGCAAAACCTATTATAACCCGACACGATACCGGTTACCAAAGCTAGTGTAATCCAACAAGATATACCAGGCTTATTTACTATACAAATTGTACTATTCGAAAAGATGTACACAAAAGCCTACAAGAACCCAATTACACAGCAAAAGTATGATGTGCTAATTACTTTGGACTTTTCGTAATAGAATACTAGAATTGCCCAGTAGTATCTAAGGTAATAGATAGTAAAATCACAGCATCTACCAAACTACAATTCAAGGTTATATAAAAACCGGCTTTGGCTTTGGAAATAGCAATGCTCACTAACCAAAAGTTAAAGAATAACCTTAAGGAAAGGCTTATCCCAGACACAGCCATACCCACACCCATACCTATTCTAACACTAAAACACCAGGGAGAATAGATTATTATATATGAAAAAAGCGGGGACAGCCCAATGGCAATATAATTCAAGAAAGGTACGATAGCAGTAAGCTAATTAAGACGAAAACCCTTAATAAATATAAACCTTAATGAAAAGGTTTTGGCCAATAGTTAACAGGACACCGAAATAGGAAAGAACACCTAATCTAATATATATAAATAAATGCCCAACACATCAAGATAATATATATAGTTATTAACAGTCCAGAATACAGAATCTAACAATCTGCTGGGCGAATGTGGGCAGAATACCAAAGATCTACAATACTCTATTACAAATAGTATTTGAAAACAAATCAGATATCTTATACATACAGGAACCCTTTATATTCCCATTCACAAAAACCAAAACACACCCCAAATGGATCTTATATATACTAGTGAATTTATGGATAGAAACATCCCCTAAACAAAGAAAAGCAGAACAACCCCGAGTACTGATATATATCAGAAAAGAAGCGAAACTGCGAACCTAACAGAGGCGATCAATCAAAAGTCGTAATATACTCTGGATAAATATAAACGGGTATCCTATATTGAATGTATATTGATAATTATGAACAGAATAGGTACTATTATATATCACCGAATTATAACTGCTTTCAGAGTGTCTTATTAAAAACAATTTCAATACTATACACGAAATATAACAATCTGGATCGGAAAACCTTTATAAAAAGAACGAGCTAGTAGTTTGGGTAGACCTGACTAAATTAGAATATATTGGAGAAAGAGGATTGATTGATTG